CCCAGTGCCGATTAGCTCTTTGCCCCAACTCTCTGTTTCTTCACCTCGGCTTCACTACACACCTGTCTTGTCCCCATCACCCTTCAACCTCCCCTCTTTTCACTTTTCCCTCTCTATTTAGTTAGATAATCCCACCCTACAAATCATGCCCATCTTCCTCCTTTCCCCCAACCAAAAACACAGTGTATTGTTCATTCTGCTTCTCATTTTTGGGTGTGTCTAGACTACATGGCTCCATCAACTGAGCCATGTAGATGAGTGTACTCGGCAAAGGAAAATGAAGCGGCAATTTAAATAATCACTGTTTCATTTACATAAAAATGGCCGCCGTGCTGTGCCGATCAGTTGATTGTCGGCACAGCGTGGTAGTCTAGATGGGGATCAGCCAACCCCAGAACCCTTTGTCGTCAGATCCTGTAAGCCTCGTTTGTACAGTGTTTAACACAATGGGGACCCCATCCCTGGCTGGTCCTCGGCCACTACCATAATCAACAACATTCACCATTATCTGGTCAAATGGCACTGTGTCCACCAATCTCCAACGAGGCATATGGAAAAATCCCAAAGATTGAGTAGGTCTGTTAACAGTAAAAAACCCTACAAATGGAACAGTTTCTCTCATAATTCCAAGTGTCAGGTGTTTGCAGGTGGGGGAGTATCTACAACTCCAATAAATGTGACCGCTGGATTAGAGAATAAATACATTATCTTCCCACAGAATAATCAATCTTAGCACACAAAGTGGTGATATGCTGGTCATCTTGGGGAAAATTATTAGGAAACTTTCATGTACATGGGAGATCTGTCTATTTCATTATTGCAAATAGTCTTTCTTTGGTCTGCATATGTAACTGAGTCTTTCACCAGCTCATCCTGTGTTCACCAGGAGAATAGAGATGGAGCCAACACCAAAAATGAGAGCAGACAGAACCTCATGTCAACAAGAAAAACAGCAGTTTTCTATAATTGTGTGTGAGCAGAAACATAAGTGGAACCCTGATATGATGCTGAAAAATTGTTTCCTGAATTTTAAGGAACAGTCACATTTTCATGACATCTCAGATTCTTCCCCATAATGCAGAAAAGCATTACATCTAGGTGGAATTAAAGTCCTGTTGTTATGAGAATGGAAAGAAAATTAACCTATTTAAATCAACTGATCTATTCTGGCCAACAGCTTATGAGTAACTCTGAACATTTTGTCCCCTAAAAAGACATTTTGAGTACAATAAACATGTCATACAAACATGTTTGTAGTTTGATTAACATATATGTAAAATATTGCATGCCATTTCAAAGAGCTTTTCTTTATGTCTGCCTTCCTGGCTATTTTTTCTAGTGTTTTTCTTCTGCTTCAGGCAGATGAAGTGGGGGTGGAGAATAAAAGGAAGGCTTGTTCTTATGCAGCATAATGACTGTTTTTAATCTCTAGTCCCTCATAACAAGCATGGACGAGTTTGCTTAGGGAAAGTTTCACCTGTCATGTCAACTGATCCATATATCCTATATTCATTACGATAATATGCAAGTACATAACAAAGTTATAAAATCCCAGTAATAGAATCCAGTAGATCAGGGTGAGGAACCTTTTTTGGGTTGGGGGCCACTGACCCACAGAAAAATCAGTTGGGGCCCACATGAAAGTGAGAAGCAAAATAAATAAATAAATAACTCTCACTGACATGGTCCCTGAATGAGAAAGGAGAAAGACACTCCCCGCATTCCCCTTGCACATCAGAGCCCGGGGGGACCTAAGCTAGTAGATTTTGTGTGCTCCAGCTCTGTGGGGGAAATGGTGGCGGGGGAAAACTGAAGCAACAGTACGGGCTCCCCAATGGTGGCGGGGGAAAACTGAAGCAACAGTACTTCAGATGGCGGGGGGAGGTCCCAAGCCTCGGGGGCCAGATCCAGGCAAGACAGGGGCCGCATTCAACCCCCAAGCCTTAGGTTCACCGCCCCTGCAGTAAATCATCTCCTTCCTTCTTCTACTTCCTTAGGAATATTCCCCACTTCCACCTCTACTACCCACCCACTTGGTGCTAAGTCAAATAAGTCAGTTTTGCAGAGATAAGCCGCAATTGAAGAAAGCGCTGAAGCATATGCCTAAATCCCATTGACTTCAATGGTACTTAATAAGCATGTGTCTAAACTTCCTTTCTGAACAGTGATGCTATCATTTTGCTGTAGCACTCTCCTCCTCTTCTCCATTGCTGCTAGTAGCCTCTGTTTATCTGCCTACAGGCACAGAATGACAGGGGCAAAACAGGCAATCCAACCACTTTTGGGATGGAAGGAGGCTGAACAAAATTGACAAAGGCTGTATATGAATTGAGCTCTGAGGCCATATTAGCAACAATGGTGTAGCCGATAGCAGTTCACACTTTAGACCAGTGGTCTCCAACATTTTTACACCGAAAATCACTTTTTAAATCTCAAAACAGGCGAAGATCTACCGCCCCGGCCCTTCCTTGAAGCCCCGCCCCTTCCTTGAAGCCCCACCCTCTCTATTCTCCTCCTGTCCATCACTTGCTATCCCCAACCCTTACTTACACACTTCGATAAAACAGTTTATTTTTAAATTATGCGATATATAAAATTAAAATCACGTGTTTATAGTTATGAAATAAAAGATCTGTTTTTATTCATGCTATTTAAATCTAAAATGAAGCATTTATAATTATACATTTTGTGGGGTCAGAGGAGAGGGAACAGGGTGCTGGAGGGCAGAGGACAGGGTTCTGCAGCAGGGGACAGGGTGCCAGTGGGGACAGAGTTCAGGGAATGGGGACAAAGTTCTGTAGCTGGGGACAGGGGAGTGGGAACAGGAATGGGGACAGAGTTCTGTAGCTGGGGACAGGGGAGTAGGGACAGGGTGCCAGTGGCAGCAGAGTCCCCTGCATCTGCTTCCTCCCAGGATTCTCCCCC